CCAAACTGCCAGCTACCAAATTTGTTAAACGTTCTTTGTTATTTGGATATGAAAACAGCCTCACGGAGACTTGCAGATTTGATATTGGGAACTTAAAATGTTACTATGGGGATTTGTAAAATAATTCCAAACAAAACCAAGCATTGTGCATAACTTTTAAAACTGCAAAACACAGAAAAAGTACTAAATGTATTCAGATAGTATAATCAATCATAAAATATTACAGCAGCAACGGAGTAGACAGATTCACTCTCTTTTAATGGGAGAGACAATGTAATTTCTGATGCAAAATCAGCCATTTGTGAAGCATCAGCAATTAAATTAAGAGCTTTCAAGTCTGTAAAGTCAGGGGAATCTGAGGGGAGTTGTTTTTTTTTGAGGAAGATTAGCCCTGAGCTAACTACTGCCAGTCCTCCTCTTTTTGCTGAGGAAGACTGGCCCTGAGCTAACATCCATGCCCTTCTTCCTCCACTTTATACATGGGACACCTATCACAGCAAGACTTTTGTCAAGCCGTGCCATGTCCGCACCCGGGATCCGAACTGGCGAACCCTGGGCTGCCAAGAATCGGAACGTGTGAACTAAACCGCTGCGCCACCGGGCTGGCCCCTGAGGGGAATCGTTGTTTTAAAAAAGCATGATGTAAAATATTGACTTAAAACATGTGGCCTTAAAACACTGTCAATTCTGAATTTTTTTCTCAAGGTAGTCTCACAAATATCGATGAGGAATTAGCATTCCAGACCATGTTCTCATGGCTAATATTTGAAATAACTGATTTTTCTTCATTTATAATAAATTATTGTACACTGAAAAAAAAATAAGGACATAGGTTCGGAGAGGAAATAATTCTGATGAGAAGTCCTGTTGTTTCAATCGAGGCTGTAGCAAAATTTTAAAAAGAACTGCTTCAATTCTTGTTCAAAATTTGCCCTCCCAAGATTTACCAAAACTGAGGTTTCAAATGCTGTAGGTAAAAATTACACTTTGATCTTTTCTTGTTCAATCTTTTGAGATTAAAGATGCTACACATTTTTTATAATTCTTCCTGTTTAACAAGAACGCTTGTCCTCAATCTGAGAGGATTCTCACCAGGCTGCTCTGAGGAGTCGCGTCCTTGTCTGCTGACTGGGCTCTGCTCCAGGTGACCAGGGCACAGCTCAAGGTTCAGAGTCATGGGCGGCTTTTTTATTTTCCTCCTCTCCCTCCCTCTTTCATTTCCTCCCTTCCTTCTGTTTGTTTTAAACAGAGAAGAGAACCCATAGCCGATATCAAAACTGACTTACGAGCAGACGCTTGAGTATTTCTAATTAATATTAATAATAAAGGCAGATCAGATTCTTTTTTAAAAAAAGAAATTAAGTATTAAGACACACATTAATTGCCTTAGAAGACTGGCAGAATTGGCTTGTGTTATTCGTGTTAAAAAATGGGGTCATGAATTAGTTCTCTTTCTCTAAAAGATGAGCTAGTCTCTGACTCCTGGTATTTCTTAAAAACATTTCTTCTGCAAGTTCTCTCATAAGTTGCTGGCATGAGACATTTCACAAGAGGTGACATCTTTGGTCTCATATTGATCAAAGCACAGAGCTCTAGGTGGGTCATCTTATACTCTTTGTGAAAAGTCTTTGGTTCAAAACCTATGAGCTGCTAAGGAGTCATTTGATGGGGAACGTAAATCCAAATACAGTCAGGGATACCAGTATTTCAAGTTTACTCCTAATAAAGGTTTGTAATCTTAGTTTTTTCAAGAAAATCTAGGTTTTATTTTTTTTGAAAATTGTAGAAGTTCAACATTCATTTTAAGAGTAAGTGGTTATTTTCTTCTCCCTTTTTTCTCTCATATGGAAGTTCATCGCGATTCTCAGAGTTTGCAGGGAAGTGGTCATTCTTGAATATGTTTAGTTTCTCACTTGCTACTGAATTTTTAATAGTTTTGAATTGTTATACTATCTAATGGTTTTTGATATTCCCTAAATTAATTTATTCATCTTTTAATCTAGTGAGCTATTATACAATTAGAATATAACACTGCCTTGTCATTTACTTGGCCTTTAGAATTACCATAAAGATTAAATGATAACAGATTTTATATATGCAACAGATATATGTGAAACCTAATATTATGAATTATAACAAACAGATCCATAATTTTATCCTAAAGGAAACTGATGGCTTTTTAAATATGCCATTTTATGCCATATCCCTATGTAGAAAAGACAGAAAATGACTCCTAGTCATTTATAATTCAAAACTCATAATTGAAAATCATCTAAAGCATGCCTGATCTCGAAAAAGCCATGAATTTTGAGCACAGTAAATTACTCTACCTTGGATATAAAAATCTTCTGAAATATTTGGATTTAAAAGTTTTAAGTTTATGTTCCTCTTAACCTAAAATGATTGACATTAAAGTATAATTTATAACAACAAAATAATGATTGTAAAAGATGCAAACGTTTGTTCTCAGAAATTTATCGCTTAAAAATTTGTACAAATATATATCTATATCTTGGTAAAATGCAATCATACATTAGATATCCTGCTAATGCAGAATTTCTTAATGCATTTTGAGGTGGCTATCTTATAAAATAAATTATATATATGTATTTTTTCTAAAACAGTGATTATTTTAAACTAACTTGGATAGAAGCCAAGATGAATTTAAAAATCCTACAAATAATAGTAAGATATGAAATAATGCAAAACATAATTCTTTTAAAAGACCCATAAACAAAATAAACTACTTCTTATTTATTAATAAGATATGAAAGAAATGAGAAACTTTAGGAATGAGAAGAAAAACATAACTCCCAAATACAGAAAAGATGAAAAGAATTAGAAGCCGCTCCTACAGGCAAATCTATTTTTTAAACTAGAAGAAATGGATGATTGCCCAGCCAAGTGAAAAATGCCAAATTGACCAAGAAGATCTAGAACACTTCAGTAAATAGATTAACCTGGAAGAAAATGGAAAGGTGATTCAAGATCAACCAAGAAGATGACTAGGGTAGGTTCATGGCTGAGTTTTACTGAACTTTCAATGGCAGAAATCACCCCCGTGTTTGTGTTTTGTGTTCATGTTGTGCATAGTTATTCCAACAAGAGAAAAACTTAGAAGGATTCACACCAGTAAACTCATTGGAGAGAGATCACATGACAGGAGGAGGGAGGGAGAAAATACAAACACCATTACAAATAAAGGTTCAAGGAAATTTCAGATGGTGGTAAAACCAGCGCCAAACAGAGAAGGGAGGAAAAGGGAACACAGCATTTAAAAGTGATGTGGCTTTTAATGGCATGTGTCTATTCAGAGTTACATATATGTGAGATGTATGTGAACAAAGGAGAGGAGAAAGAAGGGAGGAAGAAAGGAGAAAAGAAATTGACTTGGCAACACCTCTTTTCCCAGGAAACCCTACATAGATTTTCTCTTTATGGTGGCAAGGGAGAACAGTAAAGGATCTCTCTCTCTCTCTCTCTTTTTTTTTTTGAGGAAGATTAGCCCTGAGCTAACATCTGTGCCCATCTCCCTCTATGTTATATGTGGGAGGCCACCTCAGCATGGCTTGATGAGCAGTGCTAGGTCCACACCCAGGATCCGAACTGGTGAAGCCCAGGCCTTCGAAGCAGAACGCACGAACTTAACTGCTGCACCACCAGGCTGGCCCCAAGGATCTCTCATTTTTTAAAATGATCTCCAGAAGCGAAAAGTCTGAGACTTACTTAGACACTTGAACTAGTCACCTTTTCTCTCTCAGCAGGGGGCCCTCACCTGTGCAGAAAGCACTGGAGGTGACCCAAGTGCTCCCCTTGCTCTAACAGCCCCCTAGTTCACCCCAGCCTCACGCTGTGCCGGGGGGCAGGCCGTGGGGAGGAGGACGGATGACGGGCGCAGGTCCTATTACTCTTCACCTTGTAGCTATAGTGACATGGCCGTTATCTCATTTGATGGCTTTCATCCTTTTAAAATTTTGATCTCTGCAAATCTTCACTGACAGTCATGGACAATCTGTAAAAAAGGCCAGTACATTTAAAAAGTAAAATAATGTCTCAAAGAAATCAACCATGAGAATTTCTTAAATTGTAGCATATCCTTAAAACACAGTTGTATCATAGATTATAACTTGTGAAAGGCAGGCAAATTCACCCACAAGTAAAAATAACAAAATTTATTTTATACCCGAAGAAAGGAAAAGATATTGCTGACACGGGAATCTTTGAGGAGAAAAACCTCTAAATGGCCTAAAAATTGTGAATTACATGAATATCTTACTAATGCATTTTGATTCGAGCATGCAAAACATTCTTCATTTTATTTTAGAGAATATATTGATAGCGAAATAAGCACAAGGAAAGAAAACCAAGTGAATTAAGAAGAAAGCAAGTAACTTACAAATTCTTTTTATTTAGTATTATTAAGAGACTTACATGATATGGGTGGTGGTTCAAGTCTGTCTCCTGAGAGCTAACGGTGTTGCAAAATAGTTTGTTTTCTTCATGACTAATTATTCGGTTGAGATTGGTCCAACTGGCACTTGATTGAGGACAAAGTTTTGGATAACCCACTGGTTTTTCCTCTCTCTTTTTGTCTCTTTTTATGGCATTAACATTGGTTTATAACATTATACAAATTCCAGGTGTACATCATTATATTTCGATTTCTATGCAGATTACATCACGTTCACCACCCAGAGACTAACTGCAATCCAGCACCACACCCACGTGCCTGATCACCCCTTTCGATCTCCTCCCTCCCCGCTTCCCCTCTGGTAACCACCAATCCAATCTTTGTCCCTGTGTGATTGTTTGTCATTGTTTTTATCTTCTACTTACAACTGAGATCATATGGTATTTGACTTTCTCCCTCTGACTTACTTTGCTTATAGCATAATGCCCTCAAGTTCCATCCATGTTGTCACAAATGGCCAGATTTCCTCCTTTTTTGTGGCTTAGTATTCCATTGTGTATATACCACATCTTCTTTATCCATTCATCTCTTGATGGGCACCTAGGTTGTTTCCGAGTCTTGGCTGTTGTGAATAATGCTGCGATGAACATAGGGGTGCATGTATCTTTATGCATTCGTGTTTTCATGTTCTTTGGATAAATCCTCACTGGTTTTAACGTTTTCTCAATAGCAGTAGCACTTTCATTTCCCCATTTCTGTGAACTTTAATATAATAATTTTATATCTTAATAATATAGCTTTATATCTTAATGGCTAACCGTTTTTAAATACTTATTACATGCCAGGCATTGATCTAAGCACCTCACCTGTGTCCACCCACTTAATTCTGACACATCTCTATGAGTTATTGCCCATGTCACAGATGAGGAGACAGAAGCACAGAACAGTGCAGTAACCTGCAAGCAGGTGACAAGCTTGAATAACACCCCGCCAGAGCTGGGCCTTAACTTAAACTGTCTTTTGTAAACTGATGCAGAAATTCCGTAAATTATTTAAATACACATACATTTTTCTGAAAAATGGTCACAGCACTTATATTCAAATGTTGACTGCCAGAAAAATCATCATTTAACAACTTGAGATGTTTACCATCTGACTTAGAGGAGTCAGAATTCTGGGGTTTTTTTCAAAGTATTTAAGGCACTAGAATTATAATGTTAAAAAGTGGAAGTCTGAACAAGAGACATATGATTCGAATGTACAGAAAAGTGAAGGACTACCTATAGACCATATTTTAGGGTTCTGTTACAATGACAAAAAGTTCCAAACATTTTCAAGACAAGAGATTAACTAAATTTTGATCTCCACTCACTGAAAATGTGGATACAGCCCTTTTAACGAGGCCATTTTTAAGCTGAGTTGCTGAATAAAATAAGACTTTTGCACATTTCAACTCGATCTCTTTTCCTTTGGAGGTTTTAAATATCTCTCATTCTATTTCTCAGCAACAGATCATTTCACAGATGAATTCTAGAACATCACAAGAAATCATGACTAATAATAATTATCATTGTCATTTTGCATTTATAGAACACATTTTCTCTGAAAGTGTGTGTGTGTGACATGCATGGCACACTGCAGAGTTATTGCCTAAAGGAAAAATAAATTAGCGACATCTTGCAAGAAAGTCTTCATAGTTCATAAGGCAAGGAGAATACAATTTAATCCAACAGCAGAATTCCTGTCAAGACAGAAATATCACTTAAGGAGAAACCTTAAGGTGCTCCTGTGACATGGCAGCCGTGGGCACGGTTGATCTGGAGCTTCCTGTGACAACCCCAAGATGGGGGCCAAGGTGGTGGAGAGAGAGGAAAGAAGGAGTCAGAGAGAGTGCAGCAGCGCTGAAGGCCACGAGGACAGTGTGGACAGCTGACCCCCAGGCGGGCATGGCCAATGTCAGTTGGAACAGAGATGACCGTTATGAAGTTTGAAGCAGATGCAATAAAACTTCTGTTTCTTTCCACAAATAACCAGTCTATCACAATTACATAGACTTGCTGGGGGAGTGCATTTGAGGGAAACTAAGGAAATGGGCTCCTCTCCTCCTTGGGAAGAAAATAAAGGGAAAGTCAGAGGACAGCTACAAGTGAGACTCAAATTTAGCAGAAGCAATAAATTAGGACAAACTGACTTGAAGAAACGTAAAATCTAATGATTCTCAGGGAAAGGCATGAGCAAAGGAAGGATCTGAGGTTCCCCATCACAGATGGGACATGGGCATTTTTTACGAAAGAGTGTCTGTTCTATCGACACTTGAAGGGGAAGGGGGGTTTTACAGGACTGGTGGACTTGGGAACATCTGAGTGAAATTATCCATTATAATCTTTTTTTCCCTTAACTACAATTTTATATTTGATGAAATATATTGTACCCAAGCAGACTAATCTCTTAAAGTTCAGTTTGAACTGATCATTTTTACTTATTTATTATTTTTGTGAGGAAGATCGGCCCTGAGCTAACACCTGTTGCCAATCTTCCTCTTTTTACTTGAGGAAGATTGTCACTGAGCTAACATCTTTGCCAGTTTCCCTCTATTTTATGTGGGACACTGCTGCAGCATGGCTTGATGAGTGGTGCTAGGTCCATGCCCGGGATCCAAACTTGTGAACCCTGGGCTGCCAAAGTGGAGCACACGAAGTTAACCACTATGCTACCAGGCCAGCCCCTGAACTGATCATTTTTATGCTTTATAGGTTTTTTTTTAAGTCAATAAATTTTTATTTAAGTAATTTCACATGTTCTGATTCCTTCCAATCACCTTAGTTCCTCCAAAGTTTGAGTCATAATCTTCAAGACAGCCCTTTTAAAAAGAAATTGTGCTCAATCCGTGGCTATCATGTCAGTCAGTTCACAATTCTTTCAGTTGGGATTCTTTGGTCTTCCCTCGAATATGGACATCCTTTAAAAATTCTCCACCTGTAATCTTTAGGATCCAATTTCTTCAACCAGTTTACCTTAGGGCCACATTTAGGGTCAGAGTCGATGGATCTAACTGGTTCTCAGTATTGTATACCCTGTAAACATGAGCAAGTTCAAATCATACTCACTCCTAAGCTATCACCCTAGAACAGTACAGATCTCGGGATACACCAATGCCAAAGATTAAAAAAAAACTGACCATTAAGTCTTTCATAGTTTTAGCAGCTCTGTGTTGTACTTCTTTCCCACAGATCTAACACATAGTTCTGTGAGTAAAGGAAACCACGTAATTACTCTATGAGGCATTTCCAACAATGTAGGTCTACAGAAAACACCCCACTGGGATAGACCTCAACTTTGCTTTATAGTTTTGAAAACAGATTGTGATTTGCTTTTTTGTTTTTGCTGAGGAAGATTCACCCTGAGCCAATATCTGTTGCCAATCTTCCTCTATTTCGTATGTGGGTCACCAGCACAGCATGGCTGATGAGTGGTGTAAATCGACACCCAGGAACCAAGTCTGGGCCACCAAAGGAGAGCATGCCGAACTGCACCACTAAGCTACAGGGCCGGCCCCCAGATTGTGATCTTTAAGTGCCTATGTTGACATTTAGATGCTAAAAGTGTTAGGCAAGTGATCTGGCCTCGGCCCCCTCTCTGAACTCACCTGATACCTTTCTCCCCATCAGTCACTTTTCCAGGCTGGCAGCCACAGCACTCAGATGGGCTCCCACCCTCACGGTTTCATTCTTCCTGTGTACCTCCTACCTGGAAAACTCGAATCTTACCTCCTTAGGGAGACCTACCCCGACCAGCCAATCTAAACCAGGGTGACCATGGCCCACCCAGACCTGTGGGCTCTCTCAATCACATGACTCTGCTTCATCACCATCTGAAGTGACCTTGATCTTTCCAGGATTTACTTGCTTGTTGCTTGTCTCATCTCCCAGGACTAGTGTGTAGGCTCCTTCATGGCACAGGACCCTAAGCTGTGCTGTTCAGGACTATCTCCAGCACCTGAAGTTGTGAAAACATGAAATAAGTACTTGTGAAATGAAGAAATAAATCAGAGGCATATATTAATAAAGAGAATAATTATAAATGTAAAATATACGTATATAAAGTATTTGTAAAGGCAAACACCAATGGTACATGTCATCATTACAGTCATGTTCACACCATGACTTGCTTAGAAATTTCTTCAGAACAATTCAAAAGCAAATGATAGGTCACGTATGTTTGTCATGTTTTCTAATTTGGAGAGGCGTGGAGTAGTAATATTTAATATCTGTCTGTGATGGGAAGAATGACGCCCTGAAAATGCCCAGGCCCTAATCACTGGAACCTGTGAATATGCTACGTTTTATGTCAGAAGGGAGCTTGCCAATGTAATTAAGACTATGAACCTTAAAATAGGGAGATTATTCCAGATTATCTGGGTGAGCCCAAGTTAATCATGTGATCCTTAAAAACAGGTAAGTTTCCCTGGCTGGAGTCAGAGATGTGGTAGAAGAGAAGGCAGGAAAGATGCTGCCGCGGGGAGGGCAGAGAGATTGCGAGTGAGAAGGACACGATGCCCTATTGCTGGTTCTGAGACATAAGGGGACACCTGCAGGGACCAGAGAGAGGCCTCTAGGTGATAAAGACAGCCCAAAGCTGGCAGTCAGCAAGGACACAGGGACCTTTTTCCTACATTCTGCCGGTAACCCAAATGAGCTAGGATGTGCCTCCAAGCATCTGCCTCCAGAAGGGAACACAGCCCTGCCAGCATCTGGATTTGGTTCTTGTGAGACCTGGACCAGAGGAACCAGCTGAGCCACACTGTGCCCAGACTTCTGAACCATGGAAACTGTGAGATAGTAAATAAGGTGTTTAGGCTGCTAAGTAGTGATAACTTGTTATAGCAAAAGAAAACCAAATAACGTCTAATAATAATCATAAGAATAACAAGTAACATGGAATTCTCACAGCGCCTTAGAAGGTGTAAGGATTTTATGAGAATTTCATTTTATTTTTATGACAATTTATGAGGTAGTGTACTTGACCCATTTTGAGAAGTCTATTTAACCCAAACCTCTTGTCTTTGAGAACTGCCCCTCCTCACTCACGCATAGGAGTGGGCCTTTGGCAATGATGTTACCATTTTGTGATCCCATTGCTCTGGTCTAAAGTGGACCTACGGTGAACACTCGGCCTAAGACGGGTCAAATAGATTCAACTCCCTTAACTTGGAATTGTAATTGAGAGGTGTTACTTTCTTGAACATGGAGTATATAAAATCAGAAATTGTGGAGTGGCATTTACATGGAAAGAAAGATAAAATAATGAAGATGTACAGAGAGAAAGAGTGGCCAGAGGTGAGGGAGAGAGATTGAAAAAGTGGCTTCCTAGGTTTTAGATGGACTTCCTGTTTGTCGCTACTGCCTCTTGAGGCCCAGCTGTATCCTGGCCACCACTTCATTACGGAAAATGTCTTGGGTTTATTACCAGTGTCTGCAGTTACAGTGCCCGGCAGCCTTCACCCTGTGCCCACTTGTCGTGAGACCTTAAATGACCCAGGGCAGCTCTAGGATTCCAACCAACATCACCCTGTCGCTCCAGGAGCTTCTGGGTCAGAGAGCTCCTCCTTTCTCCACACTGCACACATCTGGAAATATCAGCAAGCAGGTGTGTTCACAGGTACTGTGACTGCGTTGTGGATATGAACCCTGACCCAGGCATTAATTTATTTAAAATAGTGTTTTAACATTTTCAAAAAGTGGGACATCTTCACAATGTCTATTTGTTATTTCTCATTGTATTGCATTATGACCCAGAAATGTAAAGTGTAAGATTTTTGTCCTTTCATATTTACTAAGTATAGCTTTTTGTTTTCAGATTATGGTCAAAAGTATTTCTATTTCTTTGCAAGTCTGTTGACTCATTTTTTAAAAAAATTTGTTACTACATTCTTTTGAGTATGTTCATACACATTAGTTATGTTTTCATTGTTTCTTGTGCTTAAAAAATTTCTGGCCCTTCATTTTCTCTTAGACTTTTCCTTCCATGCCCTTTGCTCTAGATTCTATGATCTAACAGCCATGTGAATTAAGATTTCTTTCAGTTCTAGATACCAGAAAATCTGACACACAATAGTCTCAATAAGAAGGTAGGAGAGGGGGCTGGAGAGGCAGGCAGGGGCCAGGTTGTCTGAGCTCTTTTTCTATTGCAATGAGAAGCAGAGGCAGAGTTTAAATGGGGAGGTGGGTGGCACATATCATGGTTTTTCACGCTTTCAAGAGGTCACTCTGCATGCTGAGTGAAGAATGGCTGGAGGAGGGCAAGAGAGGAAGCAGGGAGACGGTTAGGAGGCCATCCTTGGCAGGAGACCAGTAAGAGAGGAAGGCGGCTGAACCAGGCTGCAGAAATGGAGACAGCGAGAAGTTGCAATCACAATGCATGTTGCAGGCAGAGCCAACAGGACTTGCTGTGAGACTGCGTGCAGGGTGAGAAGGGCAGAGAAGGGATGACTCCTGGGTGCTCCCCTCCGGGAAGAGGACCCAGGCCTGGGGGTGATCAGCAGATGGTATTCAAAGCTAGGAGGCTGGGTGGGATCCGTCTGAGAAGAGAGGGCACACTAGAGATCTGGTGGGGGAGGAGGAGCAGGGGGAGGAAGATAGAGTGAGGGGGCGGGGTCTAGGAAATCCAGAGGAAAGTGTTTCAAGAAGGAGGAAGCACTCAGTTGTACCATCTGTGTTGAATGCAGCTGAAAGAGTGAGATAAGGACAAAAACTTAACCTGGAATTTAGCAAAACGGAAATCATTGGTGACCTGGATAAAAGCCACTTCAGTGAAGTGCAGTGGAGAAAGCAGGAACGGAATCGGTTCAGGAGAGAACGTCAGGAGAGGCAGCTTGAGTGGAGCAGAGAAGCAGATGCTAACTGGAGAGGAATTTGGGGTCAAAGGATGTCTGTCTGTTTAATGCACAACGTTAGGGCGTGTTTGTACACAGATGTTGGCAAAGAATCATTACAGACACAGGACTCCAGAACTCTGGACGTAGACTGCAGGGACTTCTCAGCCCAATTTTGCTCAAAGTTACAACTTTAATCTTTAAAATAAATGGGATTTTTGCCATCTTTTTCATAATACAGGTGTACCCCACAGAACATGTCCCCCGTTAATGTTTTCCTGGAAGAAGACATGTGAGTTTTTAATACATACTGCATAGCAGCTACTTATTACTCAATATATTTTTCATCTGATACTTATATAGATAAACTTTACATTGAGTCTTCAAAAAATACAACGTCTTAAACTAAATGGTTTGCAAGAAAAGCTTCATGTTGCTTGCAAATACAATTGGTAGAGCATCAATCACGCTAGCCACTTTGCAAAGGTTTGGAGCATCAACAAGGTGTACAATATCTGGTGGTGCTGGTCTGAGAGGCCAATGCCGCTGTACAAGGCAGCGGTGCTATGTTAACAACCACATTCAATGAGAGGTGGCCAAGAAGCAATATTTCAAGCATTTTACATCCTAACATTGTATCTGTAACTTATACCTAGGTGCCATATTGTGATTTAGGAAATTGGTAGCATTTTTCCAGGACTTGCAATGCCTTATAATTTTTGCTATTGAAAATAACAGGAAATAGGTTCTCCTTAGTATTTTCTCAGAGAAAGTCAGACATTTTAGGCACAAATTACTAACAGTTATTAATAGCGGATGAATTCCCAGGTTTGGTTTAGTTTTAAATTTTTAATTACTTACCTTGGAAATTACTTAACTTATTCTTCCAAATCTTGTAGTAAACTGATGCTCCAGAAAGTTGCACCACAGATATTCTGCCGTTTTGCATCCTCCCTGTACAGAACTGGGGCTGCCAGCACTCATCTGAGAGGCAGGTAGTAATGTAGAACTCGGAATTATCAGAGAAACTAAATGGGAAAATGACTTAACAGAATTATTGTAACTCCCAACAGCAACAAATTATTAAACTCGGTTCCAAAGGGATATTTAAAAAGGGATGTTAAAAGTGGTTCCAAAGGAGCTGCATTGTAGAGCAGAAATGCTGAAGTTGTGTAACACCTTCCTACACAAACTTCCCTAACATTTTGGGGGTACTGCTGGGAACTTCTGGTCCTGTTGCCTGTGTTGATTAGGTCAAGAGGCCCACAGTGGGACAAGGATGCGGTGAACCAGCCTGTGTGGGCCGTCAGAGAAGCGGTGTGGGTGTGGTCCCCAAAGCAGCTTGGGGGGGCATCACTGACCTGAGCACCTGAGTTTCCTGTCTGGATAACGCAGGAATGGGGCTGCCCACTGTGACGTTTTCTCCTTTTATAACACGGCTGGGGCAGTCCTTCCAAGATGCCTGACCAAGGTGTGGATGGTTCAGCCAGGCAGGGTCCAAGGGGCACTCTGAAGTGAGCCTGACCAGGGGTTCCAGAGGGAGGATCGTTGCAGCCAGAGGGATGGAGGGGAGAACGGGAAAGGCAGCATTGAAAAGGCAACTTCCAGGTTCCCAGGTACCTGGCATTTCCATTCTAGCCGGTGAATTCACGGTTTCAAACATAGGCCAGGGAGCTTCCGTTTGGGTTCCAGGCAGTCTCAGCCCCCATCAGGCTGGTCAGCCCACCCCTACCAGGGCGCCAGCCTCAAGGCGCGCTGCCCGCCCCATTGCACATTCCCACGGGGGCAGGGCGTGGAGAGCGGGCGTGGCACGGAGTGGTGGGGGAGGGAGTGGCGCGTTGAAGGGGAGGCGGGGCGGGTTGGCGGGCGTGGTGAGGGTCAAGGCAGAAGCGTGGAGGGGCG